AATCATTTGTATAATATAAATTGTATGTGAATGAGATATTTGCTAAGTCTAACAACAAGAAATATGGTAAATCTGTCACTTCATAAGGTAATAAACAGAAATATATATATATATATATATATATTTTATGATCAATTGACATATTTATCTTTTTGAAAAAATTGAGGGCATAGCCCAATACCATTTGATATATTAAAATGAGATTTTTAATTCATCAAATGCACAACTATTGATAAATTTGAATAATATGCAATTTTGTCATCATGGTGAAAATTTGAGAATCACACGCAACTCTTATCATACCAATGTAAGGTTAGGGCAGAAATAATTATTGTGGTGTTAACTCCATCGTCATTCTCCTTGAAATCGACACACACATTATGTATGCAAGACTCGAACTCATAACTTTTTGGTTGGTAACCAAAGCTCACAACCAGCATATCAATGTGAGTTGTGTTATATATATAATCTTATTTGAATATATATTAAGTGTAATAATCAGTATTTTGAACCAGATACATATTTTTTTTTGTACTCAATATAACTCCAATTTTCAAACCATCTTCATCATAGTGTTGTTATTTTAGTATTTTACTTACACAAAATTTTTTGTAATTTTTGAGCACCGATGAAAATCTTTAAGAAATTGGCACAATCGATACAAGTAGGAATTTTAGGGCCGGTAGGTGTCTGTTTTGCAAACTAATTTTACCGATATCTTTAAATAAAATGATTTATTTAATAGATATATTTTTTTAATCTCCAATTTTTTTTTTACAAATTTTATACTAAAAGAAATTGATTAAATTCATTGTATAATATTATAATGTTATAGTAGTATTAAGAAAAATCCAATTCCACTAACATGTTTCATTAAAAAAACCCTTTTCTATTCTTGATTTCGGCTAAGAGAGAGTTGGCTTAGGAAATTTGAGAGAAATTTATGGAGATAGAAAGAAAAGCTCAGATTTGGAGTCCGTAGAGCGATTTTCGTCCATCGACGTAGTTAGGATATTTACTATTCTCGTTGTAAAGAATCATTAACCTTTTTCTGATTTAAAATTTTTTGTGTTTTTGATATTTTCTAATCAAATTCTTATTTTCATTAAAAAAAATGAGAATAATTTTATATTTGTAGAATTTTTATCGTATAACTTTTTATATGTTATAGATATTAAGATTATGAACGTTTTGAGTATTTACTTGAGATTTTTTACTGGGTGATTTTAGAAATACAACGATTTTTGCCTACTTAAAAAATTTATTTTGACGTTTAAAAATAGTGATTTAGTTCAACTAAAACTTCAAAATGTTATTTAATGCAATATCTGACAATTTAGTTAAATTTGAAAAAAATGAATTTTTGCTTAGTATGATTTTTATTATCTATCATTAAAAAAATTTTACATTTTCCGAATTAAGCTAAATTATATTTTATTTACTGTAATACATTGAAAATGAATGTGGATATGTGATTGATATTATTGTTATAGTGTTGTTATTATAATGTGTACGTGTGTAAAAGATAAATAAAGATTGGTTGACCCGTTTGTTGGAGATTGGTTGATCTATATAGGGTGGTGGGCCGACGAACTTTTATTTAAATGATATGGTTTAGTGTAATTCTCTACTGATTCACGTGATATATTGATTGAGAGTTATAAGGAGATGATTACTATGCTGATGGACAAAGAGTGACTACTCTATTTATTGAGTCAATGATTTATTGATACTTATACAATAGCGAAAAAATACTATGATAGACAAGAATTCTTATTTATTTAGTGTGACTACTAAAATACATATTATTGAGGCATTGTTCTTATTATTGTACAAATTTATTATTACTACACGAATTTATTATTATTGCATTATTCTATAGCTTCTATCACTGGATTGTTATTATTACCGATTTATATACTAATAATATTTGATACTACTAATTCATAATACTGATAGCATATAATATACTGAGTACGAGAACACCATCAACCAAAAAACTAAAATGACCAACTATAAATTTAAAACAAAGCTCAAGTTAACCGGCAACAACCAAAGACCAACCAATGCAAAAACCAACAACCATAGAGAAGCATAAAAGACAACCGAGAACAACAGCACAAACCCACAAATTATTTCCACCCACGTTTATCCCTCCCACGAGAGGAAACAAAAATAA